TATCAGGCTCTGATGGCTCCCAGGGTCAGCAGGCAAAATGGTGGGCTGTTGGCTTAAGTCCAAAGACCAGTAGTAGAGCCAGATGCAGGGTTCAGCCCAGTAGGAAGCAAGTCTACATTGTCAACTTTTATACCACATAGGCCACACCCCTGAGGAACAGCATCAGACTGCGACCTGAATAAGGTTACATTCTCCCCTAATCTTGCCACAACTGCTTGGTTACTACTAGATAGATCCTCTCGTAGAGTTGATTACGTTGTGTTAAATCACATCATAGGCAAGGCCTAAACTGCCAAACGACTGAGACTCTGACCCAGCCAAGTTGACACAAAACGATCACACTAGTATACAAAAATATACTTTACATAGCGAAAAGAAAAATCAACAGGAGTATAGAAAATTGAAGTCCTCTCCCCGCAGCATTGTCTTATAGAGATGGCCATTGTTGACAGTCTGTTGGGTCCTAAAGACATTTTAGTGCCATTAAGCAAGATGTGTGTGTATTGTTGTTTAAACAAAAAATATATTTGACTACTATTTTTTCAACTTATGATAGCTTTAAATACATATCTTTCTTTATAATGGCTGCATAATCCAATTGGTCTTTCCATTTACCGGTGCCTTTGTTGATATCCATTTAGATTTTTTTCCAGGCTTTTGCTATTATAAACAATGCTCTGTGAACTGAAGCTTTTAGTCACAGAAAGTTCCATACTTACTTAGTCCTTTTCCTGTGATGTGGTATTCAGGGGCATCAAAATGTTCATGGAAAAATTCCATTCTCACCAAACTTGACCAACGCGTTCCATGGGTGAAGGAGGAAGAGGTTTTGCATTGGGGCCATTGAGTGTATGTTAATGGTGGTGGAATAATTTGGGAAAGGATATCAATAATGATTGTACAACACAAAGAATATAATCAATAGCACTGAATTATGCATGTAGAAGTTATTGAATTGGAAACTGCTTTGTTGTGTATATTTTTGCCCCAATTTAAAAAAATACATTACTAACAATGAGTACAAGGAAATAGAAAATGTTCTAAATTAACTGTGGTGATGCTTTTACAACTCTTCTTGATATGATTGAATTATTGAATTGCATGACGTGGATGAAGTGCGAATAAAACTTTTTAAATTACATTATCTTTTCATTTTCCATGAATTTTTTAAGGCCCTTTAGTATGTTATAGACTAGAAAACTATAAATCAGATGAACAACTGACAAGGTTCTCGAGCTAAGGGTTAGCGGATCTGGATTTCCAACCTAGGTTCTTTGTCTTAAAATCTAGAACTCCTTCTGCTGCTACCCCACGTTGTCGTTTGGCTAAAACGGAAAGAAATAAAAACAACTTGTCCCCGTTGCAGATTCCTTGCCTTGGACGTGAGCAGCTAAATCTATGCTGCTCCTGGCTGTGGAATGCAAATGACCAAACAAGGTCCTCTATTTAGGAGCAACTTGTGATCTTCTACTCTGGGAAGGCTTTACGGTCTCGGAAACCCGCAGGGGCAGTTCTGCTCTGTCCTCTCGGGTCGTGGTGAGTCAGACTCCCCTCGATGGCTGTGAGTTTTCCCAGTTAGTGTGTTTATCGACTTTGGTGAAAGGAAAAAGGGAGTATGCGAGATGTCTCTCACTTATTAAATGTGTGTTCGGTCTTCCAACCGTCTCTTTTTTTTGTTAAACTCTCTGCATTAGTGTTACTTCCTTGATGGGTGAAGTGAGATGTTGCCCCTTGGTCTGACTGGGTTTCTGAGGGATTTGAAACAACGTGGTTGTGTAGCAGGATTTTATATCATAAAACTTTAAAAAAATTTTTTCTTGTTTTTTGTATTTTCTGATTTTTGGAAATAGAGGAAAGTACTAGGAGGCAAAGGGCATTTATAGACATCTAAATGCAGGCATAAACATATATAAATATATTTATATATAATGATAGGGAAATATATCTATGTATATATATTTATATGTTAAGTATTAAGGTAGCAGATGAACATTGGACCTCTACTCAAGTACTCCCTCAGTGCAAGAACACTTTGTTCTATTAAACTGGCGTTCCATGATGCTCACCTTCCTGACACGATCGCTGAAGACAAAGTGGGTACATAAGCAAATGTGGTGAAGAAAGCTGATAGTGCTCAGCTATCAAAAGACAGTGTCTGGGTTCTTAAAGGTTGAAGATAAATAAGTGGCCATCTAGCTGAGAAGCAACAAAGTCCACATGGAAGAAGCACACCAGCCTGTGTGATCATGAGGTGTCGATGAGATCAGGTATCAGGCATCAAAGACCCAGAATAAAAAATCATATCATTGTGAATGAGGGGGAGTGTGGAGTGGAGACCCAAAGCCCATCTGTAGACAGTTGAACATCCCCTTACAGAAGGGTCACAAGGAAGAGATGAGCCACTCGGGTTGAAGTATAGCACCAAGGAAACATACAACTTTCCTCTAGTTCTTTAGTGCTTCCTCCCCTCTACTATCATGACCCCAATTCTACCTTGTAAATCTGGCTAGACCAGAGTATGTACACTGATTCATATAAGAGCTTGCAGCAACACAGGGAATCCAGGACAGATAAACCTCTCAGCACCAATAATGAGAGTAGTGATACCAGGAGGGGAAGGGTGAGGGGGCGGAAGGGGGTACAATCACAATGATCTACATATGACCCCCTCCCAGGGGGACAGAACAGAAAAGTGGGTGATGGGAGACATCGGTCAGTGTAAGACATGACAAAATAATAATTTATAAATTATCAAGGGTTCATGTGGGAGGGGAGGGAGGGAAAAAAAATAAGGGACTGATACCAAGGGCTCAAGTAGAAATAAAATGTTATGAAAATGATGATGACAACATATGTACACATGTGCTTGACACAATGGATGGATGTATGGATTGTGCTAAGAGTTGTATGAGCCCCCAATAAAATTTTTTTAAATTCTCTGCTTTTCTATTGAGGTTTGTATCTATCTTACTCTGTTATTGTTGTGGGGTATGTGAAATCCAGGACAGGTAAATCTATGGAGACAGTAACTGGATTAAAGTTCCATTGGGGGTATGACAGGGTTGGGAGGAAATGGGGAGCTAATAACAATGAGCACCACCATGAAGAAAATGTTGTGAAACTGACTGGTGATGACTGTACGGCTCTTCTTGATGTGGTTGAACTATCAAATTGTATGATATGTGAATTATATGCCAATAAAACTGTTAAAAATCAGTAGATACAGGGAGAGTGGGCTTGTGGACTTCAGGCTACTTCTCCACCCAACAAAGAGCACATGCTACTGGCTTGAAAATGAACAACTACAAGATATACCCCATCATATACTCCTGGATCATGGCACCAAGTTACACACCAAAATAAAATTAAAAAATTTTTTTTTCAAAAAAAAATTTTTTTAAAACAAAAAAAAATTTAAGGACAGAAATGAATCAACTCTGATCAGGTCCTAAGAGAAAGAAATGCCTACTGTTCTTAGATGCCATATTTGGTGCCAGCCCTAAGCAGCAGTTTGAGCAAGCTGAGGACGATGCCCACATTCAGCTTTCTTCTTGACTGAAAGGTTAACCATGCTTTCCCTATCTGGTCTCAGTACTTCCAGAATGTCTGCAGACATGGGGCAGGAGGGAAGCTCCGCTGGCTCATGTAGTAGACAGCAGTACAGTGTCAAAAGCTTCTCACCGCTGGATTTTCCTCCTTGTAAAATGTTGAAAATCCAAGTGGCCAAGGAAGTTGTGAGAGTGATCTACTACCTGGGAGTTCCCATGTCTCCAAAACAGTGGCTCGAAGTCAGCGAGCCCCTTTCGCTCAGTATTGCCAGCACAGGGGACACACGGCTCTCCCTCCTTTGCTCACAGCCTAGCCATTTGTGGGGCTCAGCATCGTAGGTTCCCTTCTCTCTCTCTGGTATCCCTTCTCCCCTGCCCTGTGTTTCATACCTGCTGCTCTCAACCTCCAACTAGTCGACCCAGAGTGACTGATGATTGGGAAGTAGTTTCCCTATTGAGGGGCGGGGTTGATAGGGGTTTTGTGGACTCCGTTTGTAGGAGCCACTGTTAGTAGCATCTGATGGGAGTTCTCTACTACATGATGGCCATTAGATGATTAAAAGTTCAGAAAGAGACAATGATTTGAAAAATAACTTGGAGGAGAAAAACAAAGTCCCATGCTGGTTGACATTTGGATACATGACGTCAGCTCTCTTGACCTCTACAAAAAAGTAGTTCATGAGGTCTCCAACGATGGACCAAGGTCTGATTGCATCACAATCACCTAGAGCAGTGGTTCTCAACCTTCTAATGCCACAACCCTTTCATACAATTCCTTATGTGGTGGTGACCCCCCCAACCATAAAATCATTTTTGTTGCTACTTCATCACTGTCATTTTGCTACTGTTATGAATCGGGTGACCCCTGTGAAAGGATTGTTTGACCCCCGGGTTGAGAAGAGCCATGGTTGAAAATTCGTGGTCCCACACTTTACCACTGTTCTGGATCAGTCTCCAGGGTAGGGATGGATGGATGTGATGTTTCCTTAGCAAAAACCCAAGTAATTCCAGTGGCTCCCGTGGGTTTAAGAATCACTGCAGTCGATGAGCTAGCTCTCTGACACTAGGAGGTCTCTGAATCTCCTGCAGCGTTAGCCAGGTTTGTCCGGGGAGGGGCTGCTCCACCCTCCCAGGAAGGATTTGGCGCAACCTGGGAACCTGAAGAGGGCGGGCAGAGTCACCGCCCTTCCCACGTGGCAACACCTCCCCACCCCCACCCCACCCCCGGCTCAGGCCCAGGCAGGCAGCTCTCTTAATCACAGGTCTGAACCACAGCTTCCTGCCGACCCACAGGTTCCCAAACTGTCCCAATCCTGCCTGCAGGCTTCGTGGCGTTGGAGAGGAACACAGCGCCCTGGGTGAGGGGGGCTGCGGTGGGCGTGTTATTAACAAAGTGGGAACAGCTTCCTGGAGGTGAGCAAGGCGTTCTTCCCCGCCAAAGCCTCAGTGGTGCAGTCGGTTACCGTGGAGACCAGCTAACACTCCCGGGAGGGCATGCTGCTCTGTGCGGATGCTTGGAGGAAGTGGAAGTGGGAAGCAAGCGAGGGTGACCAGGAGACCCCTTCTCCCAAAGATGGAAAAATGAAAGGAGAAATGCAGGTGAGAGTGAGTGTGGAAAGGGTTGACATAGGTGCTAAGAGAATGTGGGGAACGCTGACCCTCAGCTCTGGACCGAGTGAGATTTAGGGAGCCTGTGGGGCCTTCCACACGCCTGTTCCGAGAGGCCAGGAATTCAGCTAAATGCTGGGAATAAGACTACAGGAGACAAGAAAGTTCTGGAGCTGGCGGGACAGAGACCTCGATGACTAGAGACATAGCGTGGGAATCGAACAATAGGAGACGCCCTCCCACAAGAGGATACCATCTCTTCCTCGGGGACAGGGGAGCAGTTTAGGGGGTTCTTGGAAAGACGGCCAGGGAAAAGGCCTCTTGTCAGACTATAGGGCACGGCTTTCCTAAACACAGGTTCCCGTGAATAACGGCATGGAGGTGTGAAGGTGCAGGGTGTGTCCCTAAGGTTGCCAGGGAGAGGGGAAAACTGAAGGGTGAATTGGTGAGGTAATCCAGGCTCCTGAGGCCTGACAAGCCTCCACGGAAAGATCCAGCTTGACTATCCCAGGGCACTGAAGAACAAAGGTGGACGGTCTAAAAAGGTAGCCCTCTGAAGATCAGAAAGATCAGCCTAAGGGAGAAGCGATGGGTTCGATGGGGCAAGACTGGAGGCTATTTCACATGTAAAAATACAAATGCCTGGGGCTGGCTTTATCCTAGTCAAGTATATAAGAGGTCCTGCCATGTGTAAGCCAGAAAGTTGGCCACACGTTTATTTGTATTACACAATAATCAGAGTCCCTTGTGCCCCAAAGGCCAGTTAGTGTGTTTTCTCTTCAGTGTGATGTGGCCCACCCACCACTGCCTACACTCGGACCCGCTTGGAGTGCATGTAACTCTACAGATGTTTTTGCATAGCTACTGCGGTCTGTTATTCGGCACCATCGGGTTCATTCTAGACTTCCGTGTAACAGAGTAGAACTTCCCATTGGGTTTCCTAGGATAGAATCTTTATAGGAGCAGACAATCAGCTCTTCCTCCTGAGAAGCCCAGGCTGTATAAAGTTTCATCACTAACCTTTCCCTTAGCCACCCAGCGCTTACCTAGTGTGTCAACAGGGCCCCTGGACTGTTCAAGGAGCTGTTTTATGCAGAGGTTATGGCAGTGAACATGACTGAGTCCCAGCCTTCATGGATTTTAATGATAGTGGGTTTACAGGAGAAAGTAGAGAGGCAATAAATAATAAATAGGCCAAGTCAATATATAATATCAGACTGTGAAACATGTTTGGGGGGGAACTAAAGCAGGGTGTAGGGGATTCTACTTGTGATAAGACACTCAAAGCAGGCCTCTCTACCATGGTTTCACATCAGCCTGAGGCTAAGGCTGAGGGTCCTGTTCTCTCAGCTCTTTCTGGCATCTAATCCCCAGTGCCATCAAATCGATTCCAACTCATAGCAACCTTACAGGACAGAGTAGAACTGTTCCCTGGGGTTTCTAAGGCTATGAATCTTTACAGAAATAGCCTCCCCTATCTTTCTCCTATGGAGTGGCTGCTGGGTTTTGAACCGCAGACCTTGGGCTAGCAGCCTGGTGTTTTAACCACTGCGCCACCAGGGGTCCACTCCATAATTAGGTTTGACTATGACAAACCTGAACACATTGCTCAAACCACACAAATGACCAAATATGAATGTGTGCCACTCTCTTACCCAACTTGCTCTCATCAAGTCAGAGCTGACTCATAGCGACCCCCCTGTGTGCTTCCGAGACTGTACCTGTTTACGGGAGTAGAAAGCCCAGTCTTTCTCCAGAAGAGCTGTGGGTGCTTTCGAACTGTTAACCATGCAGATGGCAGCCCTGCACATAACCACTATACCATCAGGGCTCCAGCCTAAGGCCATTGTGTCACTCTAGCTTTGAGATGAAATGAAGCTATCCACCCCTTGCTTCTTGACAGCATCCATTCCTTGGATCCCAAAGTCATTGAACACAGGGCCAGATCCCAGAAGTCACTTTTAACACTCGCTGACAACCATGCCATGTGATTTATTCTAGTTGTCATCTCCCTGGTGTCACCCATTGCTGAGACAGCAACTCGAACTCAGAGTGACCAGATAGGACATTGTAAAATAGAACTGCTCTGGAGGGTTTCCAATCTGTCAGTCTTGACAGAAGCAGACTGCTGGCGGTTTCAAATCACCACCTTTTCTCTTACCCGTCCTGCTTAAGCACTATGCCACCAGGTTCCCCTGGCATCTGATAGGCACTCTCTAAGTATTCTGGGAGCAAATAACCACTTCAGGGTTGTGTGCCGAAGTGCTGCAGTACCTTTTCATGGCATGCTACGTTTCGATGCGTACTTTGGATTTTACAGAGCATCTTTACATTCCCAATTTCACTTAATCCTCTTCAGGCAATTACTACCTGACCCCCGCTCCGTTTTGCAGATGGGAAATCCCAACCCTACTCTTGCCAGTCCACCTTCTTATTTTGAAATCCCCTCCTCCATCAGTCTTGCTGCCCCTGAATCCATTCAGGGCTGAGCATCACTCATGGAAAGACACACCCGAGACACCGACGGGGCTCCTAGTGGCATTCCTAGCTTAACAGTCCCTGCCAGCAGTTTTCCAGCAAAGGTGACCAATAGGAAGCCGTTTGTGTGGTTGTTTCTCAGAACTTGCCATATCATTTTGGTGCCCCCCCCAAACAGAACTTCCTCTGAAAGCAAGATGAAAGACCCCAAAGAGAAAATCAAGCTGCTGAGCCGTCACGAGGTTATTTAATTCATGATTTCATAAGAAGACACACACGAAATGAATGTGCGTGTTGCAGTTTGGGATGTTCTTCACTTGCTGTGTCTTAGCCAGTTGAGGGGTGGCGGTTGCAAATGATAGGAACCTAACTGAGCTCACTTACCCACAAAGTTGGGGGAGGCTGAGGCATGGAGTATAGCCCAGAACTCCAAAACGGAATGAAGTCAATTCTAACAAGGACCTGGGAATTCATTTGGAAATTTAAGAACTAAGGGAGTTTCTCAACAATCTTCACTCTCTTTATTCCCCTCCTCAAATATCCCAGTGTCTACCTGCTCCTGCTCGCATGTAGCTTATAGTTTAATGGAAGGGATGCATCCATTTCCAAAACACAGTAATTAATGTATCGTCCCAAATGACCTTAAGTGCTTGGAAGAATGGAGCACAGTTTTATAAACATCCCTATAAACCCAAACCAACTAACCAAACTGACAAAACTCACTCCCATTGAGTCAATTCCAACTCCGTGACCCCGTAGGATCCCTAAAACCATTCTTCTAGCAAACAGCCTCCTCTTTCTCCAGTGGAGCAGTTTCTAGGCTTGAACCACTTACCTTGAAGTTAGTAGCCCAAGCCCAGCCCACAGCACTCCCAGGACTCTTGAAATATAGTGGGCTACTGAAGAAGACTTCCCTGCGGAAGTGCACCGGGGCTGAAATGCCCAGGATGAGGAGGGTGGGGAATGCTATTGTTTTTAGGTGTCATTGAGTTGTTTTGACGCACGGTGACCCACTGCACTACAGGACGAAACGCCACTGGGTCTGGGCCATCCTCACGATCGGACTTGGGTTTGAACCCATTGTGGCAGCCACTGCGTCCATTCTTCTTGTTTTGCTGAGGCTGGGGAATAGGAGAGTAGGAAGTTCCCAAGCAAGGACGGCAGTAAAGACTCTAGATCAGAAATGCATGATGGGAGCCCTCACGCTGTCCTGCTGATGGCCTCCCTCATCTGGATGATGTATCTGTATTTGGGTGTTGTCTTTGTCCATTTTGAGATTTACCACATGTTCTCCTCAATAAATAAACTTGAGCTTAGGGTCTTTTGTACCCTAAAACCACCTACAGAAATGAGTAATGGTGCAATGTAGCTGAGTGCCGACTGTCTGAAGAGTGTCCAAGGTGTGTGGTGGTTAGATTGATGACTGAGCCATGGACAGTTGGGTAAACAACTGCCAAGCTGGAAGCTGCCCAATGGAGAGGTCCATGTAGCAAGAAACTGAGGGAGCCCTCCAGTCAATAGCCACCATGAAGACCTGACTGCTGACCACAACTTCATGAGACCTTGGGGCTGGATCCTCCCTTTGTCCAACCTGTAGCTGTGACCTCAGCTCCAAGCAACACTTTGATTTTGGCCTTTGAAGAGACCTTGAACTACACAAGACTTCGAAAGCACACCTAGAGCCCTAGACTACAAAAACTGGCTTGGAGCCTTGGCTATTTATCAGACAGTTTGTGCTCAGTCCAGAATTGACAGGGGTGAAGGAGCTGGAATCAGGACCCAGACTTCCTTGGCGAACTGTTTCACACAAAGCAGGTTTCTTAGTTGCAGGTTGAGTTCTGCAGTCTCCTCTGACATGATAAAGCTCCATGCAATGACAGCCTCGTATCATGGCGGGATAAAGACCACTCCCTGAAATCGAAAGATGTGGGTTCTGGGCCTGGGTTTGCCATTCCTTAGTGCAGAGGCCTAGTTCAAGGGTGGTGCAGACAGAAGATGGTGGGTTGAAACCACTAGAGGTGCCTTGAATGAAAGGCAGGTGGTCTGCTTCCAAAAGCTCACAGCCACCGTATCACAGTTCTACCCAGGCCCCTGGGGCCATCATGAGATGGCATTACCTGTGTGCACTGGCTGATTTGCTGATTTTAGCAATTGTGTTGTATGCCACAAACGGGGCTGGGGTGGTGATTTTGGCAATTGTGTAGTATTCCACAAATGGGGCTGGGGTGGTGATTTTGGCAATTGTGTAGTACTCCACAAACGGGGCTGGGGTGGTGGAATGGAAACGTTAGAGAGATGACTCTCCACCTTCACATTAGAATTAAAGAGAAGCCTTCTTTAAATAATAGAAGAAGGGGTGTAGCATCGGATCCCTTGTAAAGGATCACTCTAGAGGAGAAAAGATCTGATGAGAGCACCGTGGGGGTGCTGGAAGACCAGCTAGGTGCTACTGCAGTTGTCCGTGGTCGAGATCCTGGTGGCTTAGGCTGGAGAAATGTCAGTGGAGACAGAGAAAGGTGAAGAGATTTGACAGAGGTAAACTGCCTCCGAAGTAGAGGAACTCGAGAACAGGGGAAGGGGGATCCGCTTCTAGAGAACATCATGAGTTCCGCCTTTGGCAGTTGGGTGGAGATAGCCAGCGTCGGTCCTATACAGTTAGAAGTCTGGGCTTTTCATTGGTAGTTGGGCATGGATGAGATTGCCTGGGGAGAGGATGGAAAGTGAGAAGAATATCTATGATTTAGGCACAAGGAACATCAACTTATGCTCAGGTGGATGAGGGGAAGGAGATGAGAAGAAATGGGCAGAGAAAGAGGAAGCATGAGAGAGTACCTCATGGGAAGGCAGGCAATGAAGGAAACTCCCTCCACTTTCTCTGGTAGTCTTTTACCTTGGAAATATACGTGGCAGCCCCACAGCTTTTAATTTCAAATGCCCAGAGGGAGAATCTGATCTACCGTGGACACATGTGTACCACCAATTCAATAAATGGTAGCTGTGGAGCCTCGTCCCCTGGAGTGCAGACACAGTGCCTGAAGAACTCATTATTTTCTTCCTCTAATCCTGGTATTGGAATCCTGGTGGTCTGGCCAAATAGTCTTCTGTAAGTTACCTGGAGAGCCAAGTTCTTCCCTACCTCAGGGTCTTGACACCTCTCATCTCTGCTTAGTCTAGCCTTCACCCTAACCTGAACATGGCCTTCTCCTCTTTCTCTTTCAAGGTCAGAGCTCAAAATCCATCGTACTTATGCAAACTGGATTACTTTCCTTATTACCCTTTCCCATATCATCTTTCTTTAATAGCACTTGCCACAAGTTTGGATATGTTTACATTTTAGTATCTATTTATCCACCCCTAGAATAGAAGCTCTGTATGGACAAAGACAATGTCTATCTGAGTAGTTCTCAACTGGGAACAATTTTGTTCTCAAGGGACATTGGATAATGAGTAATGGTGCAATGTAGCGGAGTGTCGACTATCTGAAGAGTGTCCAAGGTGTGTGGTGGTTAGAATGATGACTGAGCCATGGACAGTTGGGTAAACAACTGCCAAGCTGGAAGCTGCCCAATGGTTGTCACAATGAGGAGGAGATGCTACCTAGTGGATAGAGGCCGGGGATGCAGCACACTGCCCTGTGATACACAAGACAACCCCACAACAAAAAGTCACCTGGGCCACAATGCTAAGGCTGATCATCTCTGTTATCTTGTTCACCAATGTAAACTCAGCACTGAACACATGCCTCATACCCAGTGGGTCTTCAATATGTATTTATTGAAATAATAAAAAATTGTTCAGCAGAACAGAGTTACTGTTTGCATGCTGCATTTACCTTCATTTTCTGTCTTCTTTCCTCCCTAGGAAAATAAGCTTTAAAGTATTTGTAGAATGGCTACACAAACAAGACACGCTTTTCACAGTGAAGACAATACATTTCAGGAAAACCATCAGTAAGTATCTTCTCTGAATTTGCAAATGAAAAATCATCAAAGTTTGCTTATGGGAATTGAGGGGAGCTAGCTGCCTTGGAGTGTGAATAGATGAATCAATGGTCATTATGTCTACTTCAGAGCTTTAGTGATCTGCCTGTCAGAACAATATAAGAAACTGTTTTATGAGCCTAGAGTTCATATTTGATCAGGACTCTACCAGAATCCTCCCGTTACGGCACCAAAATGAAAATCCATCTGGAATCCCTTTAGGGTCTCCCGGCAAGAGAAGGAGCAGTAATAACGTGGAGTTCAGGGCTGGGGCGTTGATCAGATCACTTCATGTCTTACAGCATGAGGAGAGATGCTGACAGAGATCCGAAGCAGCAGTTGTACCAGAAGGATATCAGCGGACATGGCAAACAGTCAGATCATGGATTGCTGGTCACACACGTAAACCAAACACAGGACTTGCTGGTAAATACCATACTGCTTTGACTGAGAAGCATGCTTACAAATGGTTGTGTTTTGCACTCAATGTAATTCTTCAGACTATAATTAGTTAAGCATTCATTTCTAAACTTCCTCCTTTAGAAATGATGGAAGAATCTGTAGACTGTTGATAGAAATTGTATAGCCTTCTTGGCCATGCTATTAAGTGATCCAAAGTGTGTGCAAATGTTGTCACCTCTACCAAAGACTGGCATCGAAAGGATTTAATTCTGAAATGTTCCCTCCTGAGATGTGTTTTTCTTTAGAATTCCCTAAAATCTAGCCCCAGAAATGAGTTTCAGGAGTGCTATCAGAGCAGTAGGGTAAGGACAAAGGAAACAACATCTAATCTGGAAGAACCCGTGCGTGGACCTAGGCTGACTCTAGGTGTGGAGAAGAGCGGTCTTCCTAAAGGATGGACCAGGTGTGTAGAACTCAGACCTGATTGTACTTTGGAAGCAGTTGTCATCAATGCTTGTCAGTGCAAGGCTGGCCATACCATCTCCCTAGTCTACAATGGAAATATCTTTGAAATGATAGTTGATCAAAAGCAATACAATTACCAGGAAAGTAGCTGTGTTTTGCTTTCTTAATCTTGGTAAGTTGCATTATAAAGAACACGAGGAAAGGTAACTGTAGTCTTGAGAGCCTAAGAGAATCTTCCCAAGACTTCAGACATGGGTTAGATCATTCAATGTCATATAAAAAAATACTCATTTTCAACTCAGCTTCAAGTTTATCCATGTATGTGGTGGAACATACAAGTGTGCAAGGACCACTCAATGCCAGCCACCTCTGGGCCCTCCTTTGCCTGACACATGAGCAGCCGTGGGACAGAGGGGATGGACTGTCTCAACCCCAAGATCTTCCAGAGTCATCCTTCACGTGGGGCAGGCTGTTATCAGATGTCCCCGGGCCAGCTCTGACTTACGGTGACCCTATGTGTACCAGAAAAGACAAAACAAAGCGAAGCGTGGTTACGCCTGCCCCATCTTCATGGTCATTGGTGCATTTGAGTTCATGATTGTAGCCATTGTATCCAGCCAGCTCATTGAGGATCTCCCTGATCTTCGCTGGCCCTCCACATACTCAATAGTATGTCCTTCTCCAACAATGGGACCATCCTGGTGATGTGTCCACAGTAAGCAAGTGGAAGTCTCAGGCAATCTACTGTGATTCATGAGCCATAGGGCTTTCGATGACTATTTTTAACCAGGGGTTGCTGGGCAGGCTTTTCTTCCTAGCCTGAGCTGGTCTGAAAGCTTCATTGAAATCTCTTCCTCACGATGACCTTCCTGATGTATGGCCTACCCTTGGCGTTTTGTGGGTGCCAGGCACATGGAGCATATGTAAGACATATTTAATATGTTTGGTATAACCCGCAGTCAAAATCTAGAATATTCTTAATAATAGATCTTCAAATGTTAATGATTCAAAATCCATGTCCTAAAATACTATGTTGTTGTTGTTGGTAGATGCCATCGAGTAAGTTCCAACCCATAGCGACCCCTTGTACAATAAAATGAAATACTGCCCAGTCCTGCACCATTCTCACAAATGCCCTTATATCTGAGCCCATTGTTGTAGCCACTGTGACAATCCATCTCATCCAGGGACTTCCTCTCTTTCGCTGCCCCCCCTGCCCCCCCCCCCCCACTTTACCAAGCATGATGTCCTTCTCCAGGCACCGGTCTCTCCTGATGCAAATGTGTGAGACGAAGTCTCCCCATCCTGGCCTCTCAGGAGCATTCTGGTTGCACTTCTTCCAAGACAGATCTGTTTATGTTCTGTTGGCACGCCGTGGTACTTTCAATACCAGGATCATTTTACATGCAGGGAAGACTGAAGAAAAATGAATGAAAAGTCGACCATAAAAACTCAAACCCAACTCACTGCTATTCCAACTCGCAGTGGTCCTATAGGACAAATTAGAACTGCTCCCAACACTGCACCTTAAGCAGGAAGCAAGAAGAGGATTTCGGTTTTGAAAGACGAACGAGTGCCCTCTAGTGTCCAGCTTATGGGAAAGTGTTTCCTTAAATGTGGGACAGGCGTGGTTTTAAGTGGTACGAGTAGGTGGTTCACGAGATCAGCAGATGTGCCACATTGGGTAAACCTGCTGCACAAGACCTCTTTAGAACACTGAAAAGCAAGAGTGTTACTTTCAAAACTAAGGTTCGCCTACCCCAAGCCATGGTATTTTCTTTTTTATATACATCATTTTATTGGGGGCTCTTACAGGCCATGGTGTTTTCAATCGCCTCATATGCATGTGAAAGTTGGACACTGATTAAGGAAGACGGAAGAATGGATGCATTTGAATTGTGGTGCTGGCGAAGAATGTTGAAAGTTGAAGAATGTTGGAGGACAAACAGATCTGCCTTAGAAGCAGTGCAGTCAGAGTGCTCCTCGGTGACAAGATGGGGAGAGCTTGCCGCATGTTCTCTGGACGTGTGATCAGAAGACATCAGTCCCTGTGGAAGGGCAGCAACCAAGAGGAAGGCCCTGGGGGAGACGGAGTGACACAGTGGCTGCCACAACGGGCTTGAACATGAGCACAATTGTGAGGACAGTGCGGGACCAAGCAGTGTTTCACTCTGTTGTCCCGGGGCTCATGATGAGTCAGAACCGACTCACCCCATAGGACAGAGTAGAACTGCCCTGGGGGTTTCTGCGTCTCTAATGGTTTGCAGGAGCAGGGAGCCTCGTTTTTCTCCTGCGGAGCAGCTGGCCCTTTCGAACCCGCCAGGCTCTGTGTGGGGAGGGACCGGAAGGCAGTGAGAGAATGTGCGGTTTCATGGTGGACTGCTAACCACAAGTTCAGACGTTTGAATCCCCTAGCTGCTCTTAGGGAGAATAACGAGGCTTTCTATTGGTCTCCAGAGCCCAAAGGGGCAATTAATTAGACCATGCAACCCTATTGTGTCACTGGGTGGAAATCGACGCCATGGCAGTGAAGTGATTTGTTTTTTAGAGTTGGTGGTACAGTGGATGATGCATTGGGCGGCTGCTACTGCAAGATCAGTGGTTGGAAACCACCTGCTGCTCCGAGGTAGAAAGAGGAGGCTTTCTACTCCAGTGAAGATCGACAGCGTTGGAAACCAAGAGAGGCAGCTCGGCCCTGTCCCATAGGTCGCTGAGTCCAGGATTGAGTTTTTTGAGTCGAAAGGCAAGGAACCTTGGTTGAGGAGAAAGAGGAGCCTGTTTTATGGATTCACAGCCTCAAAACCCTTATGTAGAGTCTTTCTGAGTGGGCAGGGGCTCCTGGTCATCAAGCATGGCCTGAGCTATATGATTGGGATCTGTTCCACCACTTAGTAGCTCTGAAGCTTGGGGCAAGTGGAATTTTCTGTGCCTCTGTTTCCTGGTCAGTAAAATGGCACTAGTGATAGACTCAAACCACAGGCTGAATAGTGTGGGAGGGAGAGGGGCAGGACGCCCACACACATATGCAGATTTGACGAGGATATTTGCATCCGCGGATTTACCTTTGTTGTAAGTACATCCATTCAGGGGGTGGAACATACGGGGTAAAGCTATGAACACTTCTTAGACCTAGCAAAATATCTTGTGGGCCTCCCTGGGGGATGGACAACAGAAAAGCAGGTGAAGGGAAATGTCGGACAGTGTAAGATATGACAAAATAATAATAATTTATAAATTATCAAGGGTTCATGGGGGAGGGGTGAACGGGGAGGGAGGAGAAAAATGAGCTGATACCAAGGGCTCAAGAGACCAAACTTCCTGGTTGGGTAGAAACTGTTGGAACTAGTATCCCTTATTCCCCCTTCCAGTCTTGAACTGCCCTCCACCTTACGTTAGAATGGTCAACCACGCAAGAGCAAAAGAGCAGCCATTTCCCCCAGGACATGGGGGAAAACGGAGGTGGATTAATGAGAAATGGGACGTCTGTGTAATTGGGTTGGGGGGGCATATTGGTCTTTTCTAGTTGGTTTTGGGTTGAAAGCAAAATGGGAAAATTGGGAAGCTGGCAATCATTGACTGTTCTGGGACATTGGTCATTTAGCTTCCGGGACTGGTTGCTGCTAAGGCTGTGAGACAAAGTCTGTTGTATTTTCAGTCTCTTACAAGGCAGCATGTAGTAAGTGACTTTAATTTCTAGACACATATTGATCCGTTAGGCTGATAAAGTGTGTTAGGGAGAAAGAGGGTGTGGTCAGGGCAATGGTCAGAGAGCACAGACCCCCACATCCCTTTGTTTCCTCAGCAAGGTGAGTTCTTAAAGCAGGTGGGATCCATTTGAGTTGGCACTTGGGTACCTGTGTGAAGAGAACCTGGGACAATCTTAGTCTTGCCTCTTTCCACCTTTTTCTACTTAACTGTTTTTTATCTTGTAGAAACTACAAGGGCAAAAGACCCAGCCTTCAGCTTGCGAGGACTCTGAAGATTGGCTTTCAACTCACAGTTTACAGTTTGAAAAGCTCACCTTGCCTGACCTCATCAGTCAAGGCACAGCTGTTATGTAAGTCTGTGAAGCCTCCCCTCCCCTCTGAGCCTGCACGACACACCCACATCCTGGGACCCCAGGCACCACCTTCAGGAGTCTTTGCTTCTTCAGGAAGGAGGGAAACCATGTCGGACAGAAAGTGCATTTCTCCACCCAGCTCATCCACCGTTTCGAATCCAGGCTTTCTGAGTAAGTACGTCTATCCCTGTCTTCCCAACCACCCAGAGCCCAGGAATTCTCATTTCAGCAGCCTGACCCCGGCATTGTTCAAACAACCATCTCTATGGGACCTTGGGAAGAGTTCTCCTCGCTTTAGACCCAGTTTTCTCTTTTC